TTTCTTTTTTTAAAAAGATTTTATTTATTTGGCAGAGAGCACAAGCAGGGGAAGTGGCAGAGGGAGAGGGAGAAGCAGGCTCCCCACTAAGCAGGGAGCCAGATGCGGGGCTTAATCCCAGGACCCTGAGATCATGACCTGAGCCGAAGGCAGATGCTTAACCAACTGAGCCACCCAGGTGCCCCTCACTTTATTATTTTTCTTTGCAGCTTCACAAGTATCTCACTATGAAGCTCTCTGTTACTGTGTGTTAATTATACTTTAAAAGTAGTGCTTTAAGAATATGGTGAAAGGAATACTTAATACACACTAGTAGGAATGCAAAGTGTTTCTGAACTAAGCCTACTAACTTTTTTTTTTTTTAAGATTTTATTTATTTATTTGAGAGAGAGAGAATGAGAGAGAGCACATGAGAGGGGGAAGGGTCAGAGGGAGAAGCAGACTCCCCGCCGAGCAGGGAGCCCGATGCGGGACTCGATCCAGGGACTCCAGGATCATGACCTGAGCCGAAGGCAGTCGCTTAACCAACTGAGCCACCCAGGCGCCCCAGCCTAGTAACTTTTTTAACAGCTTTATTGAGATATAGTTCGTTTACTGTGCAATTTACCCCTTTAAAAATGTGCAGTTCATTGTTTTTTTTTTTAGTATATTCATGGATACATACAACCATCAGCACAGTTATAGAACATTTTTTATCACCTCAAAAAAACCCCCAATATTCTTTAGCTGTCACCCCCATTCCCCCTCTCCCCCCACCCAACCCTAAGCAACCACTAATTGACTTTGTCTTAGCTTTCCCTAGTCTAGATTTTCATATGAATGGAATCATTTGATATGTGCTCTGTTGTGACTTTTTTACTTAGCAAATGTTTTCAAGCTTCATCTGTACTGTAGCATGTATCAATGCTTGATTCTTTTTTATGGCCAAGTAATATTCCATTGTATGAATATACCACATTTTGTTTATCCATTTATCATTTGGATATTTGGGTTGTTTCTACCTTTTGACTTTTGTGAATAATGCTGCTATACATTATTGTGTCCAAGTTTTTGTGTATATTCATTTTTCTACATTATATACCAAGGAGTAGTGTTCTGGGTCATATACTAATTGTGTGTAATTGTTTGAGGAACTGCTTGTTTTTGAAAGCAACTGCACCATTTTATGTTCTCGTCAGCATTATATGAGGGTTCCGATTTCTCCACTTTCTTGCCATCACTTTTTTAAAAAATCAGGTATAATTAACACAGTGTTATATTGGTTTCAGGTATATAATGATTAAGCAATTCTGTACATTTCTCAGTGCTCATTGCCAGCATGTTCTTCTGTCTTTGTTTATATAGCCATCCTAGTAGGTGTGAAGTGGTGTCTCATGTTGGTTCTGATTTGTATTTCCCCATTAGCTAATGATGTTGAACTTCTTTTCATGTGCTTATTGACCATTTGTGTATATAGTCTTTGAAGAAATGTCTGTTCAGATCTTTTGCCCATTTTTAAATTATTTTTGCTCAGAAGTCAGCTGTTAATCTTATTGGGATTCCCTTGTAAGTGATGCGTTATATTTCTGCTTTCAAGATTTTCTCCTGGGCGCCTGGGTGGCTCAGTTGGTTAAGCGACTGCCTTCGGCTCAGGCCATGATCCTGGAGTCCCGGGATCGAGTCCCGTGTCGGGCTCCCTGCTCAGCGGGGAGTCTGCTTCTCCCTCTGACCCTCCTCCCTCTCATGCTCTCTGTCTCTCATTCTCTCTCAAATAAATAAATAAAATCTTAAAAAAAAAAAATTCAAGATTTTCTCCTGTCTTTTTGCCTTTGAGCAGTTTTCCTGTGATGTGTCTGTTTGTGGGTCTCTTTGTGTATATCCTGCTTGGAATTCATTAAGCTTCCTGGATGAGTAAGTTATTGCTTTGAATAAATTTGAGAAGATTTCAGCCATTATTTCTTTGAATATTTTTTTTTCCTGCTCTCCTCTCTCTGGTACCCCAGTTATGTGCATGGTGATGTACTTAACAGTTTCCCACATTTTCTCTGAAGCTGTTTATTTTTTCTTCCATTTTCTCTCTGGTTTTCAGCTTGCATAATTTCTACTGGTCTGTCTTCAGATTTGCTAATTATTTCTTCTGACAACTTCACTTCTACTCTTGAGCCTCTCTAGCGCATTTTTTTTTAATTAATTAATTTATTTATTTGAGAGAGAGAGAGAGAATGTCCGCATGTGCCCATGAGCGGGAGGGGCAGAGGGAAAGGGAGAGAGAATCCCAAGTAAACTGGCTCGATCCCAGGATCCCAATACAGGGCTTGATCGCAGGTTCCTGAGATCACAACTTGAGCTAAAACAAAGAGGCAAACGCCCAACCGACTGCACCACCCAGGCGCCCCCATTTTTTATTTAGGTTATTGTGGTTTTCAACTCCAGAATTCCTTTTTTAAAATATATATGATTTCTGGGGCGCCTGGGTGGCTCAGTTGGTTAAGCGACTGCCTTCGGCTCGGGTCATGATCCTGGAGTCCCGGGCTCCCTGCTTGGCAGGGAGTCTGCTTCTGCCTCTGACCCTCCCCCCTCTCATGCTCTCTCTCTCTCTCTGTGTCATTCTCTCTCTCAAATAAATAAATAAATAAATAAAATCTTTAAAAAAATAAAAATAAATAAAATATATATGATTTCTGTCTTTCTATTGATATTCTCTATTTGATGCAACATTGTCATTCACACCTTTCTTACTGCTTTAATTATGGTTTCCTTTGGCTCTGTGAACATGTTTATAATGGCTATTTTGAAATATTTTTCTGTTAAATTCAACCTCTGGTCACTCTCAGGCAGTTTCTTTTGCCTGCTTTTTTCTTTTTCCTGGTATGTGGGTCATACATTTCTATTTCTTTGCACGCCTCATGATTTTTTGTTGGAAACTGGTCATTTTAGATAATATATTGTACCAACTCTGGATACTGATTTTTCATCGCAGTCTTGGGACTTGTTACTGCTATTTGCTTGTTTATTTGTTTAGTGACTGGATTATTTTAGTGAAGCTGTTCTTTCTTTCCATTCCTCCAGCATCAAGCCTCTGGTGGTGGCTTTAAGGGAGACACAGCTTTAAGTCTGTAGTCACCCTGGGATGGCTGGTAGGATGGCTGGTACTAATAGGGCTTTCTTTCCCTGACCAACCCAGCTGTTAAATTCCGCTAATTGCCCAGATTGCTCTATTGTTTTCAACAATACCCTGAGGTTTAAATTCCTCCACAAACTAATCAGATTAAATTGGGGCTCCTTGGAAGGAAGAGTTTCTGAGGTCAGTGTTTGCTATTTTGTTCTGACCCCAGGAGGACTTCTCCCAAATGTCTTACTCTTGGGTTCTTTTCTGCAAACTAGCTGGCTTGCAGTGTAAGCTGTATGTTCATTACCTTCACAAATCTTCTAATTGCCTTTTACCACAACTTCCACTGTTCTTGAGAATACCTTAGAGTTAAACTTATCCCTGCTCTTTTGGGAATATGAAGTCAAGTCTTTTGGGAGGAGATTTGGTAGCATGTGTTCTTGCCTTTTCCCTGAGGCAAAATATGAGTCAGGGTTCTGGAGCTGGGAATGGGGACAATGGCAATCTTTTCTGAGTGACATTCTGGATCTGGGAGCTGAGTGCTGGCGGGGGTGGGGGGATGGGAGTAGGGTGGGAATGAGGTGCATGCAGCAGCTTGCTTCTGGTGTGGAACTACCATCGTCTCATAAGCTGGGCAGAAGAGCTGTTTGGGGCCCCGCTGTTCTCAGTGTGCCACACTTGAGGTATAGCTTGTGTTCCACAAGTGGGGGTTGTACACGGGGGAGCCCCTGCTTTTGATGTACTTGCCTGGGACTTAGTACGGGGCTGGGGACAGTCCTGCTCCTTGCAGGAAGAAAGCTCTTGGACTGAGAGTTGGGGGAAGAGGGAGCCATGTGTTCTTGGCCACAGCAAGAACTGGAACCTTGCTGATATGGGAGAGGGGAGGAGTGAGAGTGGTCTTGGTTCAAATACCACAGACTTTGACCTTTCAGTCTGAATTTTCATAGATTTTTATTGAATAGTTGTTTTCTTCATTTACTGTTTCCCCTCAGGGACCATTTTCAGAGGCTTTGAATGGTTGTTTTTTAAAATAATTTTCACCAGTTTCACTGAGGAGCGGGGCCAGAGAGCTCCTTGTACTGTGAGGCTAGGAGTCAATCTCTTGTAATTTTGTTTTTTTGAGCTAGTGGTCATGTCTCCTTAAAGCATGACTCAGAAAAGCATTTCCTTCATTATGATCCCTGACCACTCTTCATAAGAAACCCTTAACATGCTCCTGAACATACCAACTTTCAGACGATGGCTGTATGATACAGGAGACCGAGAGAATTTATTTCCCCTGCTGTTTTCCTTAAAAAATGAATTCACTACATGTGGAAGTACTCTAGAAGGGAAAATTTGCACATGACTACAGAGTTGGTGAAGGAAAGGAAAATTAGTAGTAACTAGAGAATTTTCTTTTTTAAGATTTTATTTTTTACACTTTTTTTTTTTTTTTTTTAAGATTTTATCTTTTTTTTTGGCAGAGAGAGACAGAGAGCACATGAGCAGGAGGAGGGACAGAGGGAGAGGGAGAAGCAGACTCACTGCTGAGCAGGGAGCCCAACTCAGGGCTCGATCCCAGGATCCCAAGATCATGACCTGAGCTGAAGGCAGACGCTTAACCAACTGAGCCACCCAGGCGCCCATTTAAGATTTTATTCTTAAGTAATCTCTACACCCACCATGGGGCTTGAACCTACAGCCCTAAGATCAAGAGTCGCATGCTCTACCCACTGAGCCTAGAGAATTTTAACGTGAGGGCACCATAGTATAGTTGATTGAATTCTTTTCAAGTTGACTTGCAGGTGTTGCAGTTAATTCTTGATTTCTTTGACCTGACTTACACATCATAACCAGCAGGCCCTTCCTCAGTTTTGCTGTCATCTTAAATGAGTTTCTTTTCATTCCCTTTTTTTTTTTTCCTTTCCAGGGGCCACTCAATAGTGAGTCTTCCAACCAGAGCTTGTGCAGCGTGGGGTCCTTGAGTGATAAAGAAGTAGAGGTAAGAGGCCACATCCACTGTGAGACTTTACATATTCCCACACTTCCAGTCTGGGTTGAAGGACGGCACTGCGTAACTCCAGGACACACTGATTTAGGATTTGTCTGTGCCTTGTATTGCCTTTTAAGTTCAATATTTTGTACATACTCTCTAATTTTCATAATGTGAGAAATTTAACAAAATGCTAATTGTGATGTATATGGTATTTAACAGACTCCTGAGAAAAAACAGAATGACCAGCGAAACCGGAAAAGAAAAGCTGAACCATATGAAACTAGCCAAGGTAGTAATATTTCACACCAATAAAAATATTAAATTCTTATGTACTTAGAATTTTCCGACTCACAGTAAATAATTAGTTCAGATACAGGGATTCCTAACAAAGGAGATTTGTGTACCTTAAGGGAATACCAGGCTGTTTATTATAGACTTGCCATTTGATATACACCTGACAAAAGTGTCAGTTCTCTGGGGACTCTCGTTTGCCCTGTTGTAAGTTAGCGATCTTCTCACCACAGGTTTTTCTTCAGACTAAGCATGTATTATACAGAAAAGAGGTTACATTGGCATTTTAACCATATCTTGCATTAGCTCAGTGATTTGTTAATAATAGGTAACCAGAAATGGTTTTATTTACATGGCTGTCTCTACCTCTTTTTCTTCTGTGGCAATTATTTAGTTGAACATTGGCACCCAGTGGGATAAATCTGTAAATATGATGGTTCTGATGCCAAATATCCATATATAGTTGAGGGAATAAGTGGTTTGCTTCATCCACCCCTCTGAGGAATGGAAGTCGTAGTCTTTTTTTTTTTTTGCATTTTTCTTGTTTTTTTAATCTACAAATTATTTTTATTTTTGAGAAAAAATTCTCCCAAAGTGACATGGTCACAGAGTTTTTTGTGATACAGAGTAAACCCTCTAGTTCTGATGAGTTTGTTTTGAATTCTGTGTTCTCTTAATTGAGGGCATGGACTATAAATTAGTTTTATTTTGATTCACAGTTGTAGCATAGGTTTGTTAGTGTATTATAAAAAAAAGATTAGCAAATCTTAAAAGAAGGCAATCTCAGAAAAAGTCTTCTTTTCACTGCTTATTAAGTCTTTTATTAGATGAGGAAACTGTCTCTGTTCTTACGATACAGGTAATTTGGCTTACTTGTTAAAAGTGAAGCCAACATTTGAATCTATGATAACGTATACAGTTACTGAATACATAGTACATTTTAGTGAATGATGGTTTACGTATGTTATTGGAAAAACTATACTTACTTTGGTTTCATTTTCAGGGAAAGGCACTCCTAGGGGACATAAAATTAGTGATTACTTTGAGGTAAGTTAAATTTTTGGAAAAAAAAAAATCTGTAGTGATTTTTACAAAACTAAATCCTTGCGTTCATTTAAGGCTTTAGAAAGCAATATTTTGTCTTTACTGTGCTCTCCTTCCCTTCCTCCCCATCTTCATCAATCTGATGTTGCCCCATCTCTCTTTTGAGAGGAAACTGCTGCTGACTTCCTAAATTTAAATGTGTTTATGATGTGTCTTGTCTGTGATGATATAAAAATTCACAAATGAGGTGATTTTTTCTCTCGGCTAGACTAGGTTTCGGGTCTTACAAAGATTGAAATGGAGTGACTTGGACTCTTCTTTTGTCCTCTTCCCTTTAGTGCAGTGGGACACGTAGTGAGCTCACTGACCCATCGTTAGTGGTTCCTAAAGAAGACACTAACATCCACTATACCACTGTATTCCTGCTTTCGGGTATTTTGAGACAAGAAGGGAAAACATTCTTCTCTGATGTCCTTTCAAAACCATGTGTACCTTCAGCTTTCTAGCCATGTTTTCTTTATATCTTGGTACATTTCTGCTGGAGCTCCTTCTTAAAATCTCATTGAAAAGATAGCAAAATGTGACTTACATGGCATTTTCTCTTTAGCATAAGATGTATTGACTTATTAAAGGGGCCATATAATTAAGACCTGTTTGTGTGTTAATCTTTTACTCTCCTTATCTGAAGCATAGTACTGTTTTGAATTATTCATATCCATTTCTCCCTGTTGGCCAGTTTGCTGGGGGAAGCGGGCCAGGAACCAGCCCTGGCAGAAGTGTTCCACCAGTTGCACGATCCTCACCGCAACATTCCTTATCCAATCCCTTACCGGTAAGCATTCACCTGGAGAAATTTGACACCTGTTGTAGGAGATGAGAAGCCCAGGAACACTCAAGCAGTTTCTCTTCCATTAATCACCCAAGGGGAATGAGGCATTAAGGAGAAACATTCATAGTATTACCTGTGAACTACTTAGATTCAAGTCTGTATCTATAAATTTATGTTTTACAAGAGCTAACCCTGTTTCTCAGTATAATAAGTTATCTCTAAGCCTACAGCTCAGGGTCCTGTCAAAGAAATAATTGCCAGTTCAAATACTAGGTTTTTATCCTTGCCAAGCTTATATAGTCCTATAATTCTGTTTTTAAAAAAATTTGGTCAGCTCCTGGCATTTGATTGATTTTTCAAGGCTTTCTCAGTGATGTGGTAGAGAAGCTAATGTTAACACAAATATGAGACAGGTTTGTTTCCTTTTTTTTTTTTTTTTTTAAGATTTTTTATTTTTAAATAATCTCTACACTCAACGTGGGGCTTGAAGTCACAACCCTGAGATCAAGAGTCGCAGGCCCTACCAAATGAGCCAGCCAGCCCCCTCCCCCTCCCACCCCATTTTCCTTCCATTAAGTGAGAATTGAAGGTCCTAAAAAACATTTTAGCCAGGTTAGTGTTCTCAGCTGGGGGTAGTTTTGCCTCTCAGGGGACGTGGGGCAATGTTGGAGTAATTTTTGATCACAACTAGAGGATCGGAGGAGGGAGCTGTGGGCATCTAGTAGGCAGAGACCAGAGATGCTGGTAAACATCTTAAAAGGTATACAGCAGGCCTCACAATACTGTTACCTGCTCCAGATGTCACTGGTGCCAAGGTTGCGACTCCCTGAGCTAGCTAGCGCATACGGGATTTTGTGTTAATGTACTTGAGTGTCGTGGGATAATTTGTTGATACCGTACAAGATCTTTGTACTCAAGAGTATGTTCTGGCCACTGATGCCTCAGGTATTGCTTTGGGATCTTGGAGAAAAGGGGTCTCCCTGAGATCAGTTTCTTTTTAGGAACATTGTTGGACTCTGCTGCCTCAGCAGAGTTGGGTAATAGTGCTCTTTCCCTAAGTGAGTCTTCTGCGCTAAGTATTGAGCATGCACTTCTTCCCCTCTTCTGTCTTATAAAGTCATGCATTCATTAGGATGACTACAATTATTAAAGCACTTAGGAAAATGTATTCAACTTGAAAATTTGGCTATTTTGTCATCCTTGTCATATTTAAACATGTTAGAAATATTTGATGTGCAGAACTGTTTGGTTAGATTGAGGTTTTTTTGGTAACTGTCGAGAAGGCTTGTGTCTTTATTTTTCTTAATATATGTTTATTTATTTATATAATTAAAAAAATTTTTTTAAGTAATCTCTACACCCAACGTGGGGCTCAAATTTACAACCCCAGAGATCAAGAGTTGCATGCTCCACTGACTGAGCCTGCCAGGCGCCCCTATTTTTCTTAACTTTAAAACCAGTTAAAGTGTTTAAAATATTCCAACACAAAAAGGAAATATTACCAGCTCCCCCTCCCCAAACCCCCTTATGCTCCCTGCCAGTTATTAGCCCCCTCCCTGCCATTGAGGACAGGCACTATCCTGACTTCTAATAGCATAGATGTTTTTTTTTTCTGTTTTTGTACTTTGTATGAAAGGAATCATACAATATGTAATCTTACGTCTGGCTGCTCTCATTCAACATTTCTTCTATGAGATGCATCCATATTGTATGTTGTTGTAGATCATTCACTGTCATTGGTGTGGTACAATTTTAATATTTTTATTTAATAATAATATATTTTAATCTTTATATGGTTAATCTGTTGCCCATCTTCTTCCACTAGAATGTTAATCCCTTGAGAGCAGGGACTTTGCTTTGTTGTTTATTGCTGTTTCCATCTCTCAGTATTTATTATATAAAGGTGTACTTTTTTTTTTTTTTTAACTATTTCTTCGACTTGACATAATGAGATAATATCTTGTTTAATTTTCAATCTCTGACACCCAAAAGAGTGCTTGGCACAAATGGTAGACGTTCAGAACTGTTGAAAGGAAAAATTGATGGATAAAGAATTACTTTATCTTTTTTTCCCCTAAATGGTTCTTTTGTATTTTTTGTTGAAAACAAAAAAGGACCTAGACATGAGCCTTTTAATGCAGGAGTTTGGCAAACTACAGCCCACAGCTGGCAAGCTAAAAATGACTTTTAGATTTTTCAAGAGTTGTAGAGACAAAGAAGAATATATCGCAGACATGATATGTGGCCTAAAAAGCCTGAAATATTTGTCTGGCCCTTCACAAAAAAACGTTTCCAGGAAATCATTATAAAGTTAACTCCATGTAATCATTACTTCGGTCAAGAAGTAAAATATTTCCAGTACCCTGGAAACCTGTGTGCTCCTCTGATTTTAACTCTCTCCCTCTACCTTGGAAACAACCAACCACTGTTCTAATTTTTGTGATTATAATTTGCTATTTCTTACCATTTGACCATGTATGCATCCCTAAACAAAATAGTTTGATTTTGTCATTAAGTCAATTTTGTTAATTGTGGCGTTTAATCACAGTGTTTAAATTTTCTATATTCTGATTTGGGGCTCTTTGTTCTAGCAATTACCAAGAGGTATATTCATCTCTCTCATGGTTGTGGGAGTTGTTTGTTTCTTCCTGTATTTATATTTTTGTTTTGTGCATTATTAAGTGACTCTCTTCATTTCTTGTGATACTTTTTGCTCTAAATGCATTATATCTGATATTCAGTATATCCAAATCATTGTATGGTATAGGTATTTCCATTTTTATACTATCAGCTTTTCATTATTATTTCATTATGTTTCAATATACCTGAAAAAAAATAGTTGAATTTTTTGTTTTTTTCAGTCAAAATTATTTTTTTAACTTTAGCATTTATTTTATTTACTATATTGGGTTTAAATATACCATCTTTTAATGTGTTTTCTACTTATCCTGCATGTTCTCTGTTCCTTTTTCTTTCATTTCTTGCTTTTATTTGGGTCAGGTTTTTTGGGGGGTGGTGGGAATCATTTCGTATTCTCATCCTCCGCTAGTAGCTAGGTCCTATCCTGTGTTTCTCTTAGAAATTACCACATGTATCTTCAGTATGCCTAGGTTTGATGTTAATAGTATCTTTATCCTCCTCTCAAAGAAAGGATGATGTCAGAACATTAACTTCATTTACTTGCAGCTAACTTGGTGGTGGTGGTATATGTTTGTATTTTTTGTTTTTAGCCTCATACAACATTATTTTATGCTGTCAGTGTTCATTTACCTCTTTCTTTGTACTTCTTTCCTTTTTGTATCTTACACCTACCACCTAGGGTCACTTTCCCTCTGCTTGAAGTACTCCTTTAGTATTCTTTTATATGTATCTGCTGGGGAGTTAACTCTCTAGGTTTTTGTTTGTTTAAATAACTTTATTTTGCTTTTATCCTTGAAAGATATTTTTGCTGTGTATATTAGTTTGGCATTTTTATTTCTCTTAACGATTGAATGTATTATTACCATCTTCTGGCTCCCATTGTTACTATCGAGAAAACAGTTTTCAGGGCGCCTGGGTGGCTCAGTTGGTTGAGCGACTGCCTTCGGCTCAGGTCATGGTCCTGGAGTCCCGGGATCGGGTCCCGCATCGGGCTCCCTGCTCGGCGGGGGGTCTGCTTCTCCCTCTGACCCTCCTCCCTCTCATGCTCTCTGTCTCTCATTCTCTCTGTCTCAAATAAATAAATAAATAAAATCTTTAAAAAAAAAGAGAGAGAAAACAGTTTTCATTTACTTCTTTTTTTTTTTTTTTTTAAGATTTTATTTATTTATTTGAGAGACAGAGAATGAGAGACAGAGAGCATGAGAGGGAGGAGGGTCAGAGGGAGAAGCAGATTCCCTGCCGAGCAGGGAGCCCGATGCGGGACTCGATCCCAGAACTCCAGGATCATGATCTGAGCCGAAGGCAGTCGCTTAACCAACTGAGCCACCCAGGTGCCCCTACTTCTTTTTTTTTTTTTTAAGATTTTATTTATTTATTTGACAGAGAGAGAGAGAGAGAACAAGTAGGCAGAGAGGCAGGCAGAGGGAGGGGGAGAAGCAGGCTCCCCGCCGAGCAGGGAGCCCGATGCGAGGCTCGATCCCAGGACCCTGGATCATGACCTGAGCCGAAGGCAGCCGCCCAACCAACCGAGCCACCCAGGTGCCCCTTTCATTTACTTCTTATTTCTATGGAAGTATCTATTCTTTTTTTCTCCTGGCTGCTTTAAAAATCTTTATCTGTGGTGGTCTGTAGTTTAACTATGATGCATCCTTTTATTTCTCTTGCTTGTGATTTGTTGGGCTTCTTTGTTGGGTCTTGTACCAGTTCTGGATAATTATTAGCCATTGTCTCTTCAGATATTATTTCTGCCCTGTTCTCTTTTTCTTCTTCCTATGAAATTCCAATTAATTGTATGTTAGACCATCTCACCTTATCATCTGCTTTTTAACATTTTTTTTCTATTTTCTTTTTTTTTTTTCTAAAGATTTTATTTATTTATTTGAGACAGAGAGAATGAGAGAGAGAGAACACATGAGAGGGGGGAGGGTCAGAGGCAGAAGCAGGTTCCCTGCCGAGCAGGGAGCCCGATGCGGGACTCGATCCCGGGACTCCAGGATCATGACCTGAGCCGAAGGCAGTCGCTTAACCAACTGAGCCACCCAGGCGCCCTCTATTTTCTTTTTGTCGCCATTTGCTCCATTCTGGATAGTTTCTTGCCTTCCAGTTCCAGATTCTCTGTTTTGTTGTATTTAATTTGCTGTTAACTCCACTGAATTCTTAATTTTTGTTATTTTATGTTCCCGGCTGATAGTTTCAAGCTTGTCTTCTCTTATTATTTTTTTGTAACCTGGTAGACCTTGTTTTATAATCTGTATTTGATAATTCTGGCATTTGAAGTTTTTGTGAATCTGTTTGTTGTCTCTTTTATGAATCTGTTTGTTTTTCCTAGCTGTTGCTCCAGGCTTTATTTCTGTTATGCTTCGTATTATTTTTTGACTGTGTGCTGTTCATTGTTCCTGAAATATTGTTTGTGAAATTTCTTTGAGATCTAAGACAAAGATGTATTCCTCCAGGGAAAATTTTTATTTGCTTCTTCCAAGTGCCTAGAGATTTCACCCATCCAGTACTACTTTCAGCTACTGAATTTGTGGCTTTTATTTTGTTTGTTTGTTTCATCTACCCATTCAGTATTGATCTGGATTGTGTTAACATTTCTCAGGGGAGCTCCTGCCTCCTGCATTGCCAGGGCAACTTGCTTGTAGTTCCCTGAGGGTGGAGGAAATTTTTCTTCTGGTTTTCATTTTCCCTGAGAGTGTAACCTTTGGGAAGCCCTGGAAGCTTGATGTGTGAAGGGTTTCCTGTTGAACCCCTGCCCCCAGTGGACTTTGTTTGGCTGGTGATTATCTGCTTGGCACCATGTGCCCTGGAAATAGAGATTCAAGATCTGCAGGTACCTTTAGGGCAGATGTGACTTTGGTACTTCATTTATGTGTCTTGTGTTCCTATTTCCCTTAGTTTTGCCCTGGCAGATCCCTACTATCCCCTATTATCAACTCTTCAGTGCTTTTAGTATCTTTTTTTTTCCTATTTTGCCCTATTCTTATGATTATCTAATCCTAGCCTGCTGTATTTCCAGAAATACTCAAAAATCTTTCAGCCCTTGGCAAATACTTATTGAGTACATAACAGAATGATTAATTTTAGTATCGTGGCTTCAGAGATACAATCTCCCAAGTAGTGCAAATATAGTTGTGACTGGCTATCACGAATGCTCTGGAGCCTGAATTTAAATAATTGCATTTGGTTGGGGTAGGAGTGTTGGTCTCAAGGAGGTGGATTCTGCTTACAGATTAAAAAACTAAATTCCTGGGCGCCTGGGTGGCTCAGTTGGTTAAGCGACTGCCTTCGGCTCAGGTCGTGATCCTGGAGTCCCAGGATCGAGTCCCACATCAGGCTCCCTGCTCAGCAGGGAGTCTGCTTCTCCCTCTGACCCTCCTCCCTCTCATGCTCTCTGTCTCTCATTCTCTCTCGCGCAAATAAATAAAAAATTAAAAAAAAAAAAACAAAACTAAATTCCTTTGTCAGGATTATTTTGGTTAGTTTATTTTACTTTTATTTTCTAAAAGGAAAATGTTAAGTTTTCCTGATGAAGGGATACATGTTGACTATGAAAGTCCAACTCAGAAGTGGTAAAATAGAAAGTCTCCTCCAGAAGAACTATTATTCAAGAGTTTAGTGGGCATAAACATATACATGTATGTTCTCATATAATGGATTTTCTCATTTCTTTATTTATTTAACCAATATCATGTAAACACTTTTGTGTCCTATAAATAGTGCTGTAATGAATGTCCTTGTATATATATCTGTACTTAGGCATTTCTTTTCCTTTGGATAAATTTCCGAACTATAATTCCCAAGTCAAAGAATATGCTTACTTTAAAATGTCATCACTTAATTGCTAGCGGATTATCAGCAGTTTGTGGGTCCCAGTTTCTGTGTACCCTCCTCTAATACTAAAGCTTAGCTTTGTAGTCTTTGTCAGTGAGAAGAATACCTTGTTTTACCTGCATTTCTTCATTGGTGATATTAAACATCTTAAGTTTAATGGCCTTTTGGATTTCTCTTTTAATGCTTATTTAGGCTCTTTGCCATTTATTTATTGGAGTATTTGTTTTTTTCTTCCTGATGAGTAGGAACACATTATTTTTTAAGATTGTTAACTCATTGTCATTTATATGGTAAACATTTTTGCCTGTTTGAGTTTTATCTTTTAACTTTATGTTGACTTTTGCCATTTGGGTAAAAAAATTTGGAGTCAAATTTATCAGTGTTTTTCCTTTATGTCTTAGTGGTTTTGTGTTATTCTAAGATGGTCCTATATGGTTTATATTTTTAATGTCATGCCTAAAAAGTCCTTCACCACTAGAAAGTCATAAAAGTATTTGTTTATATTTTCTTGTAATTTTTATGTATAAGGAAGCAGTCTACTTTTCCCTTTTTTCTAATACCTACACAAATATCCTACCATCTTTTTAATAAGTTCCCACTAATCTGAAATACACTTTAATCGTAAATTATATATCCGTATTATAGGGGTCTGCTTCTGAGTTTTTTATTCTGTGCCACTGATTGATGGGTCTGCTCATGTACCAGTATTATACTGATATAGTTATGTTGTTTTGTAGTATGTTTTAATAACTAGTCAGGTTTCCCTGCTATTCTTTATCAAAACTTATATTGCTAATCATGACTATTTTTCCAAGTGAACCTCAATTACTGTGTGAAATTCCACAAAAACAACCCCCTAAAAGAAAGCAAGAGAACCTCTGTGATCGCTACACCACCATAACACTCTCTCCTGCAGAAAAAAAAAAAAAAGTAAACAAAAAGCCTTAAGCATTGGCTTTTAGAAAAATTTGACATTTATAAAATTTGAATGCAGGAGCATAGTATCATTATGTAGGTCATGTTTTACATCTGTCAGTGAAGCTGTGGTTTTTCTTTATAGGTAACCCCCATATTTCTTAAGTTCTAAACTTATTTCTATTTTATAGATTTTTAAAAATTTTGAATCTGCTTTTTCTTCCATTACATATTCTGATAATAATAAATTATTTGTATATGGGGTAGCTATTGATTTTTGTATGTTTACTTTATATTCAGCCATCTTACCAAGCTCTTATTTGTTGTTTTTCAATTGATTCGCTTAGTTTCCTTTGTGAATAGTTATATCATCCAAAAATGACACTTTTTAATCTTTTTAATATTTTCCAGTGTTTATACCTCATTTTCCCACCCTTATCATGTTGGCTAAAACTTCTGTAATAATGTTGAGATGATTGTGATATTAATATGTTATCCCCTGTCTAGTTTTCCTAACTCTGATCAAAGTGTCTCTGGTATGGCACCATTGATTTATGTTGATTTCTGAAAAAATACTCTGTTGTATTAAAGATGGATAATTTCCAGTGTTTTTTGTTTTTGTTTTTTAAGAGTTGCCCAACAATGTGCAAATCCTTTTTGACATCTAAAGGGAAGAATCTTGATTCCCCTTCCCCCACCATTAATGTACTGAATTAATCAGTAGATTTGCTAATAATGAACTATTTTCACATTTCTGAAATAAACCATACATAATTGTGTTATATTATTTTTTTAGTGTTCTTTGGAACTTGTTTTGCTTGTATTTATTTTCGATTTTTGCATCTAAGTATAGTATGGTGAGGATAGAATTGAGAGTGAAGTAAATTCTGCCTGTAAATTTGGGGACAAATGTCTTAATCTTCATTTACCTACAGGGAAGAAATAACATTTCTTTTGTAGGTTTGAGGCTATTTTGAAGTTGATTTGTTGAACTCTACAAAGTAAACTGCAAATGCAGTTATGCAAATGTAGAACAATGAAGATATAATTTTACAGAACTCGAGTAAGATATTAATTCAGATTTATAGATAGGTTATAATCCATGATGCTGTTACTATGCTTTCCACATTTGTTTTCTGAAAAGGTGTTTTTAAAAAATACCCTTATTTTCAATAACCGTGTTTTAATCTGTTAGGCGTTTTGGCAAGTTTCAGGTTTTCTTTCTCACGTAATGTGTGTGTTTTCGCTCATGTTTTCCAGCGGCGAGTAGAACAGCCCCTGTACGGCTTAGATGGAGCTGCAAAGGAGGTGCCAGAGGAGCAGTCGGCACTGCCCACCCTCATGTCAGTGATGCTAGCAAAACCTCGGCTTGACACCGAGCAGTTGGCACAGAGGGGCGCCGGCCTCTGCTTCACGTTCGTTTCAGTGAGTACCGAGGCTCAGTTGCTTGCAGATCCTTGTTGCCCTGGAGCTCCTTGATGAAGTTTGAGTAATTATTTTGGTGAAGAGATAATGACGTTTCTAACTATGTGGCTTCTAAAGGTGGTGTGGTTTTACTCCGTCTCCCTTGGTACGAGGGGGCTGATAGAGACAGCTTTCCTTCAGTCTGAGCACTTTTGGGGCGCCTGGGTGGCTCAGTCGGTTGGGCATCTGACTCCGGTTTCGGCTCAGGTCATGATCTCAGGGTCATGGGATTGAGCCCCATGTTGGGCTTCGCACTCAGGGCTCAGCCTGTTTGCCCCTCTTTCTCCTCCCTACAGGTGCTCGCTCGCTCTCTCAGATAAATAAATAAAATCTTTTTTTTTCTTTTTAAAGAAGCAGATAAACCTTTAAAAAAAAAAAGTCTGAGCACATCAAGGGAAAGAAAATATGGTTTTAGGTTGGCAGAGAAGTAAAGGAAGTACAGAACAAATTCCATTACAGCCGAAGTATGTGTCTAATAAAAAAAAAAATCTCCAAACTCCAGGCATCACTTATTTGAAGCAGTATTCAGGTCAGTAAAATTTTAGCATGTAGGCAGGCATTCTGTAGCATGTTTGCCAGTCACTTCCCCTCTGTGGTATTTGGATGACCTGTATGCTTGCTTTTTCTCACCTCTTCACAGTTACTTTTTCCAGGAGTATTTGGTTACCCGTTGGCTGCTTTCATCTTGCTTCTTTCTCTCTCCTTGAAGAACCAAGAATTTGAGTATTATGAAAATTTGACCCCATCTGTATTTGCCAAATTATAATGCAGTTTGACTCAAAAGGTTTTTTTGTTGTTGTTGTTGTTTTGGTTTTTGTGCCCAACTATGGATGGTGTAAGCCAAAAGAAAGCCCCATTGCCCTGTTCTTCCATTCAGAGCTTCCATTATGTGCCCTTGCCCATTCTTCCATTCAGAGCTGACATCACCACTGATCCAAACTCTTTCTCTTCTGCTGGTTCATTTTCTCCACTTACAACCTAAATCTCCTCTCATTTGCTTTGTGGACTCTGAGTCATTAATCCACATGCAGTTGTGTATTCAAAAAGGCCATGAGAACAGTGAGTGCCTTAAGGAAAGGAAATAAAAATTATGAAATAATTAGATAGGGAGCCATTGTGTACCATTTGGAATACTTTCCTACAGTTATTGCTTTTCCTCAAGAAAGAAATATTACAAGTTTTAAACTTACAGAATTTTTTAATTATCAAAAGAATGGAGAGACTTCTTGCATGAAGGCAGTAAAATTTATCTGTGGGTGGCAAAAGAAACACAACATAAAATGGGAGAATTGACCAGTATAATCCTGTGGGTGGGCCTCAGCAGTATGCCATAGTTTGTATGAGAATATCGTGGTTCTCTGTGGTATTGTTCTAGAGAATGTGTCTGTCTGTGTGTATATATAAATTACATTGTGTGTTTACTATTCACTGACTATTAAATCTTCATCTTAGATCTAACTTTCTCAGGCAAAACTTGGATAATCAGAGGTTTATTTGTCCTTACATTCTTTTATTGCCTTAAAAGCTACCTCCATTTCCCCTGAAGGGAGTTCCCTTTATTCATTGCACAAATACTTACTGAATGCCCACTATGTGACAGGCATATAATTAAGTACACAGGAGGGGCGCCTGGGTGGCTCAGTCAGTTAAGTGTCTGCCTTTGGCTCAGGTCATCATCTCGGGGTCCTGGGATTGAGCCCCACATTGGCCTCCCTGCTCAGCGAGGAGTCTGCTTCTCCCTCAGCCTCTGCCTTTCCCCACCGCATGTGTTCTCTCTCTTCCTTTCTCTCACTCTCTCTTGCTCTCTCAAATAAATAAATAAAATGTTTAAGAAAAAGAAGTACGCAGGATTTTGATCAGCAAAACTCCGTCCCCTAATGTGAGCGAGCCTTCCATAAAAGGTATGGGCATGCAGGCTTGGGATGGGTGCACATGGATAACCACCTGCTCAGTCCTATCAGCTAGTACACTCAGGCTGTCAGAGGAGTTGCAGATGCTACAGCCAGATTGTTCTCATGTAGAAGAGAGATGGCAGAGAATAGTAAGAAAATGAACATGTCTGTAGAAGGAACAGGGAGATAGTACGAAAAGCAAAGGCCTAAATGGTTTGGTATAGTTCTGAATCTCTTTTGCTTCTCTGTAGTTCCAGCCAGGATATAAGCTTAGTAATATAGAGAAAGAAGAAAGCAAAAGAGTTAACATTAATGTATAAGAAATGCTTTGAATCAATAAAGATAAGCAGTTTCCCAAAAAATAGGCAAAGGCTATGAGCAGACAGTTTCACAGGGGGGATATAGGACAAATGATTAATAACATGAAAAATGCTTAACTTTAGCCATGGAGAAATGCAAAATATAACAAGGTAACACTTTTGACCTATCAAAAGTGTCAAGGATTGTTTCATTTGATAATTCTCAGTGTAGGTTATAGTTTAGACACCCATGCAAGTTTCATACTGACCCTGAGTTGGTACAGTCACTTGGAGATGTTGGTAATGTAGCTGAGTGTTAAATTTACATATCCTGGAGTCCAGAAACTGTATTCCCATAAAACTATACAAAGATGTTTATTGTTTATAATTGCAGAAATCGGAAGCATTTTCCCTTCACCAGTGTTTCAAAGGAACTTGGAACGAGGGTATCTGTGACCTCCATACTGCTAACGCCAGTGATCATTCTCAGAACTTACTGTCTAGCATGATTCATAAGCCACAGTTGATGACTCCCTTCTCCAAGCACATGCTCTTCTCTTGGCTTCCATTCTTTTGGTTCTTCCTCATTTCCCAGACCACTAAACAGTGGAGTGCCCCTGAGCTCCGTCTTCAGACTTTTGTCTACCTTTATTCTCTATGTAATCTCATTTAGTTTCTTTGCTCTAATTATCACCCATGTGCAGAGCATTTCCAAGTTTGTATCTCCAGCCCAGAGCCCTGCCCTGAATTCCAAACCTATATAGTCAGTTGGCACTAGTCTTCTCTTTATGTCTTTTTTTTTTTTTTTTTTAAGATTTCATTTATTTATTTGGCAGAGAGAGAGAGCGGGCACACGAGCAGGGAGATCAGCAGAGGGAGAGGGAGAAGCAGGCTCCCCGCTGAACAGAGAGCCCAACGTGGGGCTTGGTCCCAGGACCCTGGGATCATGACCTGAGCCAAAGGCAGACTCTTAAACAACTGAGCCACCCAGGCACCCCTCTTTATGTCTAATAAGCATATCAGATCTAATATGTCCAAAACTGAATTCTTCATTTTGTCCCCTTGCTCTAAACCCATTTCTTCCATAGTCTACCACATCTCAGTAACTGTCAATTCTCCTTCTAATTGTTTAAAAACCATGGAGTCATTCTTGTCTCTTCTATCTATTTTATATCCCAATTACAAATCCATCAGCAAATCTTCCTGTTGAGAATATGTCCAGAATCCTACCGCTTCTAACCCCTTCACTACTTGAACTAAACCATGTTCTCCCACTGAAGTTACGGTACTAGCCTCTCAGCTGGATTCTTTTCTCCAACTTTTGTTTCCTTTTAATTTGTTCTCAACAGATCAGAGTAATGCAGTCATGCCTGCTCAAAGGTGCTGAAAATGGCACAAAAAGCCTTGCATGGCCTGTTTCTCCCCATTGTGCTATCTCTTACTGCCCTCTCTCTTCCCTACTGGATTCCATCTACACTGGCTACCTTGCCTCCTCAAATGCTACCTGGCATGTTCTCACCTCAGGGCCTTTGCACTTGGTGTTGCCTATGCCTTAACATTCTTCTCCCACATAGTAAGTAACCATGCCCTGTTCCCTCAGTTCTCTAGTCTCTGCTTCAGTTTACCCTGTTAGAGAGGCATACCCTAACTATACTGTAGAAAAGAGCAACTCCTCCCTGCCCACCCCACACAGTGTCTAGCTCCTGTGTCCTACTGTTTCTCCTTAGTCTTATCTCCAGCTGACCTGCTATAATTTACTTCTTTGTCTGACTCCTCCCTACCCGCGCCCCCCCACCCCCCATGTAAACTCATCAGGTCAAGGACTTTGCTTTGTTCACTTTTGTATCTCCAACAGATCTTCTCTAACAGAAACCCGGGGCAGTTCTATGTTGCATGAATTGATAAGACATCCTTCACATATGTCTAGTGGAATGCTACACAGTTGACAGAAGAAGTGAGATAGGTATATATAGTTTTTTTTTTTTTTTTTAAGGTTTTATTTATTTAAGAGAGAGTGTGTTCCCATGAGTGGGGCAGGGCACGTAGAATAAGAGAGTGAGGGAGAAGCAGACTCCCCACCGAGCAGGAAGCCTGATACAGGGCTCAATCCCAGAACCCAGAGATCATGACCTAAGCCAAAGGCAGATCCTTAACCAACTGAGCCACCCAGGCGCCCCTAGGTATATATAGCTGACCCTTGAACGACACGGGGTTAGGGCACCAATACCCCCTATGCAGTCAAAAATCATGCAGTATAATTTTTGACTTCCTAAAACTTAACTCCCCAAACTTTACTAATAGCCTACTGTTGACCAGAAACCTTGCTGATAACATAAACAGCTGGTCAACACATATTTTGTAAGTTAATTATATTATATATGGTATTCTAAAAGTAAGCTAGAGAAAAAATGTTACTGAGAAAATCATAGGAGAGGTCACTTTGGGTGGCTCAGTCGGTTAAGTGTCTGCCTTTGGCTCAGGTCATGATCCCAGGGTCCTGGGATCGAGCCCACTATCAGGATCCCTGCTCATCGGGGTGTCTGCTTCTCCCTCTCCCTCTGCCCCTACCCCCCACTTGTGCTCTCTCTCTCTCTCTCAAATAAATAAAAATAAAATCTTCAAAAAAAAATCATAGGAGAGGGGTGCCTGGGTGGCTCAGTCAGTGAAGCGTCTGACTTCAGCTCAAGTCATGATTGCATGGTCTTCGGCTTGAGCTCAGCTTCCATCTCTGCGCTCAGCTGGGAATCTGCTTGTCCCTGTCCCTCTCACT